GTTTTATTTCCCTTTGTGTTATTCTAGGTATTTTTTGATTGTATTTGAGTTATTCTGTGTTTCTTGTTTGCCCTCTGTTGCCCTCTTGTGTCAGCGCCTTTCCCCGAGCTCCCTTCTAGACTCCTCTGTCCACACCTGCTCCCAGTCTGCTGATTACTCTCCCATATTTACACCTCTTGTTCAGTCACTGTTTGCTGGTTCCTCATCATAATTTATTTACCCTTCATGTAAGTTTTTCTGGATTTCAGTATTTTGTTTTTGGACTTTTGCTTCTGTTGGAAACTATATTAAATCTACAAGAAACCACTTCAGCTTCAGTCTCTACATTTGGTCCTTTAAACCTCCACCCAACCTTACATATGTGGGTTTGAAAGTTGTTATGATACTTATTGCTACATGAGAGATAAAGGACAGCTGGTAAATATGGGCAAGAGTATAAGTAAAATGTACACTTTGCTAACCAAGTTCTTTCCTTTAGTGTTTTAATCTCAAGTGCATACCTGTCCTCAGTCTTCTCATTCTGGTTCTGGAGATTTAAAGAACTCTAAGTCACACAGTAAGAAGAATATCTGCTGTCTGTCTGCCTACCCTCTAACCTCCTTGGGATATTTTTTACACCAGCTAGGACTGGGGTGGCCGTTGGGCATACATGTCATATACCCGATGAGCCCATGCCCATTTCAAGGCTGTCATGATGTAGTCAGATTTTTTATTTATCATAGATTTAAATGATAAATAAAAATTGTATTAATTACAAATGATTCTACTCAAAAATAATTTATCAACTTAGCAACACTGGTAAGTTGATGGTAAGATTTTTCTCACTTACACTGGTCATTCTTGCATGCATATGTAATACACTAAGCAAAAAGATAGATATTTCTTTAATCATTTATTTATTTCTCAAGCAACAAAATCATCTGTCATCAAGTTCTCCAGTCGTTTTAGTTGGATGTCATAACCTGTAAAATATAAAAGCATTATTTAAATCAGTACTATAACAGATCATCTTGTCAAATATCAGATATTTAAAGAAATCTTTTAGATTTCTAATGCATCCAAATAGTTTCCTCTACCATGCAGCACCATATGCATACACGCAAGATTTTTCCACTCACACTGTCCATCCAGCTGCTGTAGGCACTGACTCTGGTGAACACGGAGGGCTTCTTGGGATAGTTGCAGCCCAAGCTTGAGCCAAAGCTCACAATTCCATGAACATCCCAAGAACCATCAGAGTTCCTGCAGTTCAGGGGGCCACCAGAGTCTCCCTGTAGGATGGGAAGGACAAATGTAAATCACTAAAATAGTTAACAGGCACAAGTGAGGCAAATATTAAGTTGATCAAATTTAGATAGTTTGACTCACATTGCAGCTAGCCACCTCACCATCCCCTCCAGCACAAATCATGTTATTGGTGACCAAAGTGCCCCACCAATCAGACCTGCTGCAAGTGGAGTAGCTGACCACAGGGAGGAGGGCCTGCTGCATGATGTCAGCAATGGGGCCTCCAGCTTTATCAAAAACAATATTTTTCAGAATACAGTCTGAACTCCATAAATTTTTTTATGTAATATAATTAAAAGTAATATTACTTGCATATTTAGAGATTAACTTTAATAATGAATTATTCATTTGAACCTAAAGGTCACATTAAGATTCCTGATAACTTCTGTTAAACTGCTCTTCAGAAGAATAATGAAAGACACTGCTGCTTAAAATGTTACATGAAGCATGGAACATGACGTTAAGGCTGATTATCTGCCGTCTTATTGTTTCCGCAGGACTTACTCCAGAGACGTCCCCATCCAGTTACGTAGCAGGGAGCCTTATCAGGCAGAATTTCACCAGAGGTGGGGAGACAGGCAGGGGTGATGCTGGATGAGAGTGTTGCGGGACTTGAAAGCTTGATCAGGGCAATATCGTTACTAGACAGTGGAATAGAGATTAAACAATCAGTTATAATGCAGTACTGAGAAATCGACAGTCATCGAACAGTGACAGCTTCTTTAAACCTCACATGTTGAGAATACTTTGTGAAAAAGCTATTACCTACCGGATATTGTAAGAGTCCCAGTTAGGATGAACGATGATCTTTGTGGGGCTGATGGCAACTGACCCAGCCTCATTGGCGGTGAGGTCATGTTTTCCCAGGTAGACTCTGTAGGTGCGGCTTCTGTTTTGCCACAAGAAAAACAAAGAAACATGAGAAAATGTACTCAATAAAAATCTTTACTAATATAAAACAATTACATAAGTAAGGAACTGATAAAACAAAGGCATATAAAGCATTACAACCTTCTTTGATTTCATATAATAAAAATAAAAGCACAGATTTTAATTACAAATTATTGAGCCATCTCAAGGAGAAACAGTGATAGTAATGACAGAGAATCAAACAGCCAAGAAAATTTGTCTGCATAGTTTAAATCGATACAAGTTAACTGCTGTCTTGACAGCCATTAATTTACCCGATGCAGTGAGCAGCAGTAAGAACCCATTCACTGGAGATCAGGGTACCACCGCAAGTGTGGTACCAATAACTACCACTCTTGTACTGCAGAGACACCTAAGAAGAGCATAAAAAAATTCACACATACATTTCATAATTTGAGGAAACAATCCAAGTTATATAATCTTATTTTAATTTAAATACCTGCCAGGGCCAACTGTTCTGACGGACATTTACTCCACCAACCACCCTTGAGAGGACAGGGGGGTAGGTGGGCACGCCACAACCGTAGGCTACAAGACAACAGAACAGTAGAAAACATTGTTATTCTTGCAAATTATAGATCACCAACATACATTTGGATTACAGCCTCATGCTTAGGACATTCAGCTTCACATTTTTGTAGTCAGTGAATTTCGTAGTTAGCTTACCACCAGCAACAAACAAGGCCAAGATCACAAACATCATTGTGACAGTCAGTGAGTTTTATGGTGACTTGCAGCTCTTTATATAGCTTATCATTGTAGGCACATCAAACAAATTGTGAACAGTTTTCTAAGCTTAAGCCAGGAAAATTTGACTGGAAAAGCAAATCTAGCCTTGAAGATAAGGTAAAAATAAATGCATCGTATCTCTCCCATGTCCACTGTATCTTTGTGAGAAGCACACAGATGTCTTCTGGTGTGCTCAGCTTTTTTTTTTTAACAGCTTAGAAAACACTTTTATTGAGAAATTGTACTAAATCTAAGTTTTTTTTTCATTGATGTATTGTTGTTTTTTATTAAATAAAGACTTCTCATTTGGTTATATGGGGTAAATAAAGTGTGTTTTACTATAATTTCATCTTTAGTTAAAAAGAAATCTTTAATGTCTAATATAATCTGATCTGCATGTCAAGAAGTGCACCAAGTTAAAAGAGAAAACTTGCCTTACATTACCAACAACAAAGCATTTTAATTCATTTGCAGTTAAAAACTTTAACAAGAATGTTAAAATGTGGGACTGGGATTTTGTATTATTGATCAAGAGTAAATTCCTCTAGACAAAAATGTCTGAAGTTGCAAAATGAAAGAAAACAGAGTTACAATCTTAATAATATTCTACAAATATAAATGTTAAAAGTGTTCAATGTGCTTGTATACTTCCACTATGATAAGATACGTCCTCTATGAGTCAATGAACAGAGAAAAAGTATTTTACTGGAGTTACAGCTGCAAGTCCTTCAGTCTTTGACTCTACAAGCTCTTCATAACTGCAGACTGAAGATTATGTCCTGATTTTCTTACAAAAAATATTCAGTCAGATCGATTGAGGATGATGTTTATGAACAGTAAGTTAGTTATTTACCCCCGGACTTTGGTAGGCTTTTCCAAAACAGGATTCTGCTTTTTTTTTTTTTTTTTATCAGAAATACTTTAATAATCCCAGAGGGAAATTACATTTGCTCCGAATACAGTTTTATATATATATATATCTATATATATATATAGATATATATATATATATCTATATATATATATCTGAATCACTTGAGGGAGGCGTTGCAGAGACTGATGACCACAAGCATTTTATTGTAGTTCTAGCTGGAGATTTGGGGTCATTGTTTTGGAATTAAAAATGTGGACCCATTTTCAAGTCTTTGGTATCATTTACTATTTTCTTTTTCAAACTTACTGTAAGCTTAATCTGTCTTCTAACATGAAATAGAATAAAACTATTGTATGGCTAGGGCTGCCACTGTACCACCGTGTGTCACTGCAGTGATGGATTGCTAAGGATTCATTTTCTACTGCATGTAGTGTTTTATATGTCAGGCAAAAGTTCGCTTTTGGTCTCTTCCGACTGGGACAGCTGTTCCCATTTAACTGTGACTGCCAAATGACTTGTTGAAAACCAATTGATGGAAGATCATTTGACTCTAAAAAGTGTGGGTATTAATCGTGTTTTTTTTTTTTTTTTTTTTTTTAATAAAGGCCTATTTGTAGCATACATAATAATAGAGTGCGCAGTCACTCTGAGTTGAGTTGCACAAATGACAATTTATTTCCATTTTTAATTGGAAATATGAGTGTTTTACATACATAGATATACGTACCGGTATATAGTCAAATAACTGTGAGAATGGACCCTGCTTTGAACTTCTTGGAAACTGTATTCCTAGCCTGTATGCTGTTTTCCTTGGTCTGCATGAGAGTGTTTTTTTCACACACCTCTTCACCGCCTTCACAGAATATTTGGATTTATACTGATAACGATTATTTGCACACATGTAGTCTTTTTAGTAGTTAAGTGACATATGAAGGCAGTGTGTCACACCAACATTAAGTCCAAATCAGTAAAATACTGGAAAAGTTAGAGGAACAAATATAAACTGCTTCCTCAAAACACCATAACCTTGGAGTCCAAATCTACATCTGCTAGCCTGCATGTCCACTTATTGCTCCGCCTCATTCATTGAATTTCTCATGGTATGTTTCCAGGAAAAAGATCCAGAGTTGCAGTTTACATAAGAAAGTTGGTGAAAGATATAAATATGTCAGAAGTTTGCTGCAAACTCTGAAGACACTGACACAATGAAGTTTGTGGTGCTTGCTTTGCTTGTAGCTGGTGGTAAGAAAAGAAAAAACAACAAATTTTTCTATCCTCTATTCGTCATGTTAACTTCTCTATTCGTTGCACCACATATCTAAATTAAATAAGTCTGTTTCAGTTAGCTATTTTAACTTATTTCTTTGCTTTTAGCCTACGGGTGTGGCGATCCAACCTTCCGGCCGGTGGTGAGCCGAGTGGTTAATGGAGAGGATGTGAGGCCTCACAGCTGGCCGTGGCAGGTAAACATAATATGAAGAGCTAAAAACTTTTAAAGGCTCAATGTTGAATATATCCTCTCACCTATTCATTCCATGTAAAAATGACTTCTGTTAATGAATGTATTCATCCAAAGTACATATTTTGATGCACATTTTTTAAGTTAAACATAATTTGGATCATATGATTAAAAAGATAAACTTAGATAATGTTGTGAATGTCTAACTTTGTTGTTTAGTTTAACAATTTTCGTTCCATTGTTGCATCATATGGTTTATTATTTTCTTGTGTGTTTTGTTATTAGTGTTATTTTTAGCCAAGGGCCACCATGTCTCCGTCTTTAACAACTCTTTCAAATTTGTTAATTTACCTGTGGAGCTTCAATTAGTCAAAGTCCATGGTAACAATACTCCTTGGTTTAACTATGTCAGCTGTTATGTTGTTTTTTTCTGCCTACTTACCCGATCTTTATCTTTATCGAATTTACTTTGCTACTTTTTTCTGCATTTTTTTCCCCAGCAATACCAAAATGCAAAAAGAAGTACTATATTTTCTGTTAAATTTTAAAACTCTTATCTATTAAACAACCAACAGCATTTTTTTTTTTCTTTACAGAATATCGGATTTGGCATTCAGATCTCAAGCACAATTTCAAAAATAAAACCAGCCAGGAAAAATATGATCTGTGCATCCTTGTTTTGATATATATATATATATATATATATATATATATATATATATATATATATATATATATATATATATATATATATATATATATATATATATATATATATATATATAGTATAATTTATATTTCATATTTCTATTTCATTTCAAATTTGTCTGTGGTTTTGAAATCTATCTCTTTTTTTTGTTTGTTCTTATCATTTTTAATGGAGCCAGCTGATAAAACTTGAGTAACTGATGTAAAAACTGAAAAAGGAGCTCTAAAACCTTCATTCATGAAGGGTTGATTGTTATTGTATACAATTTTGTATACAGGTCATGTGCTTTGTTTATTCACCGATTTAATGTATTTGTTAATTAGCCAAGTTACAATAAGATAGATTAATGGTGATGGCTATTTAGTGGTTTACCAGCAGTATTTAGCTAAAGAGAATTTGCATCTTTTTTGTGCACAGCTGGAGGTCCCATTGCTGACATCCTGCAGCAGGCTCTGCTGCCTGTTGTGGACCACGCTACCTGCAGCCAGTCCGACTGGTGGGGCTCTCAGGTGACGGAGAACATGGTCTGCGCTGGTGGAGACGGAATTGTCTCAGGATGTAATGTGAGTTTGAAACAATAATATTCTGTAATATTTATTGTCAATCCATAAACACTCACTCTTCCTGTTGGTATTAATGGATAAGTTTTTTGTTTTTTTTTTCATGAAAAAATTATTCTCAGAACTTTGAATCCTTTTGATCATTTATCTACTAAGCTTTTAAGCAGGACTTATACCTAAATACCTGACCTATATCAATATGTGTCAATATCAGAATTTCAGAGTGACATTTTTACATATTACCTTAAAACACTGTAAATATGTTACTCTCTAAAATGTGCTGAAACGTGCAGAGGTTTAAAATCCATGAAACTTTTCAGATATGCACATAGGTGTGTCACATTTAAACTCTTAGATTGTGCTTTTTTGACTATTTGTTTTTATGGGACTATTTAGGGAGACTCTGGTGGCCCTCTGAACTGTGTGGGCTCTGATGGAGCCTGGGAGGTTCATGGTATTGTTAGCTTTGGCTCTGGGCTGAGCTGCAACTACCGCAAGAAGCCAACTGTCTTTACTCAAGTCAGCTCTTACCTGGACTGGATCAACAATGTGAGCTTTGAAAACAGCTATTACACCGATATTTGTAGTATTCAAAATATTAATGTGATACATTTTATAAAAGCCTAATATGTTTTTGTGATTTCTTTTACAGAAAATGGTGGCCTACTAATAGAGCACATTAAAGGACTAAAGGTTGTCATTGTTAAATTTAGAGTCTAAATGAAATAAAATCTTTTCTTATACTTGATATTTTGCATCATGTTCATTTTTATTCACTCAGTGTGTGAGTCTTATAGAAAATGAGAAAAACATTGGAACCAGCTTGTACGACTTTTAACAATTAGGAAAGATGTTTGTTGCCAAAGTGGTATAAAGTCATTCAATTAAAATTCTGTTTGTTACTAAGGATTTCTTGAGTAAACACATATAAATAAGAACCAATTATAACCATATAAAGTAGGTAACATCTCGGGGACTAAATTGATTCTGGATGAAAGGTAAGAATAATAAATACATTAAATTATGGTAAGATTGCAAACCATGACTGTTGTACTGATCATTTTCTAACTTAACAAAACTAAGCGCATAAGTGCCCTTGTGGTATTACTCATACTTACTTTAAGTAAAACAGCTGGACAGTATATGCTAACTTTGTGAATTTATTTACACCAATTGAAACTTTACACATTTAAATTCAAATTCAAAAATACTGATAATTGGTTATTATGGGAAGGAGATTTCTTCTTTCTTTTTTTTTTATAGTCTGAAAAGGGTGGTATATATTTGAATTCAACCGTCTCCCTGTGCTACAAGGAGTTGGACAAATGAGGAGGAGCAGAATGATGAGTATAAATAAGATTTAAGGAAATGAGTAAAAGTAAAACTTTCACAAACACTGTAATATCTAGTGAAGTGTGAACAGTAAAACAAAGCATAGCATGGGCACAAATAATGTTTCAGCCAAAGGTAAACAGAACTAAAGAATATATATGCTTAGCAAATCAGAAACCTTACCGTATAACACAGGTGGACAATATTTAACTCATTTTCTGCAAATTGGCAGGAAAAGTGGACAACTTATAATCAACTGGAACAGACACTGGGATAATCCAACATATGAAATCAAACATGACAGAAACAAAACAAAAATAATGTAGAGGTAGCAAGGATAAATTATAAACCAAAATCTAAGATAAGCGTGAAAAACACCTAACACACAAAAAAGCACAGAAGAAATTCAAGTACTTCATGTTACACGTTTACATGATCTAACATTTCCTCAAAAGCTTTCTATAGATAATGCCACCTTAAAGAGGATACTCGATTATAGATTTCCTAAATAGTTGTATACAATCATGATCTCTCTTGTTATTGTTTTTTTTATCTTTCAAGATTGACCATTGCTTTTAAGATAAAAAGCAACAGATTAGAAAAAAAAAGAACACATTCAATGAAGGAATCCAGTATATGGGTGCACTATAACTAATTATTTTTCATATAACTAAACTGACTGCTCAATCGCTGAAACACCTCTTGTCCTCATAGATTATAAACATAATAGAAAAATATTATCACCAACCATTTGACATTTCCTTCGTCTCTGACATGCGTTTGTCGTTTAATTCACAATAAAATAAAGGATACACACCTTAAGTGTGAATTGGCTGTTTATGGAAATTCCATGCTATTTCCTACATTTGAATTTCCAAAAACCTCACTGGGTCTATCAGAGATTTACAACCTGGAAATAGGTTGATGTTCTTTCTGATTTAGTGTTGGGATCTAAGACCTTTGGTCTTTAAAATAACTGATATTTTTGCACCTTGTCATGTGAATTAATGCAGTCTTTCATATTATTTTGGTATATCTGAGGTAGTGCTTTAGCCAAACAGCAGAGGGCACTACAGGCATGCCAGTTACAGTCAGGGCCTTCAAAAAACGACATGTGACAACTTTCTGTAGGTCAGTTTATAAGTTTACATTTTGTACCAAAGGTTCAAGTAACATTGACCCAAGATATGTATTCTGGAACCTCAAAACTGAAAACTAAAAGTCAGAAGATCTTTATCCTTCTTGTTTGTGATGTTTTATGATGCTTTCTGAGGATTTTAACTTTATTGAAAGTTTAATGTTATCAGATTATTATTAGCCCTTTGGTTTTAAGCTTTTTAAGAATGTTTATTGCTTGTACTGGTCTTCTGTTTATCTGAGACTGGGTTTGGGGGGCAGCAGTCTCAGCAGAGACTCCCAGACTTCCCTTTCAAAGGCAGCTCTTCAGCTCCACCTGGAACCTGATCTATCTACTCTGCTTAATACAGTGGGTGAAACTTAATTCTGGTCTCCAGTGACTTTTATTTATTGATTCTAACCTTTCTGATCCTGCTTCCTCCTAGAAACAAACGTGCAGTTGGGAAAAGAATAAGTTCTTTATAACAGCTTCCACTTTAGCCTAATTCATTGGATGATCTGGGAAGTTTATTCTGTAGCCAATAAGATGAAGTGTGTTCAAAAGCTTTTCCCATTTGCTTGTACTTTTAATTTTTTAATAAATTATTTCCCAGTAATATGTAATTATTTTTCATTATATAAAATAAGGTGCAGTAAAATGTTTACAGTGATTTAAGTTAATGTTAACATTTGCTTATCAATCTAGTTGTGATTTCCTGCATATAATAGCAGAAAAATCTGTAAACCTTTTCTTGTTTTCAAACCATAAAAAACTATGAAAAATCATGTTCAGTAAATTAGAAATTTGTGAATATTTAATTAATTTCAGTAACTTAATTCACTAAGTAAAATGCATTACAGTATAAGGATAAACTATCATTCAAAGGGTTTTTTTGAGCCATTGGTTTGGATTTTCCACTTTCCACTAATGAAAACAGGGCATTTATAGTTCAAATGCTACATGAAGGTAATAATAAGATGACTCTCTTAAATAAAAATAGGTGCTTGATTTATGTAGTGAATATAATTAATAATAGTGTCCCAATATCTGGAGAATTATAAATCTGACAAACAAACATCACTAAAACATGTTCTAATGGACAGAAGGACAATTTCCCTTTAGGACATATTTATAGACAAAGTCAACATTTACTGAGTGGAGCTGCTCAGCTTGGAGAACCTATTGAAGATGGTTCATTAAGTCACATCTCAGGATATTACTCATGAGGAAAAACACATCCTGCCTTGTCGGAAGTAACCAAACTTTGCTTGATGATTTTTGTTTACATAGGAGAGTGATTGATCAGTTGACCTGAACGCTGTTTTATTGCTGAACTATACTGAAGCATTTACTGGCTTTTGTTCATTTTATTCTCCTAAACCGAAAGGTATTATTTGGCTTTTTACAAGAGTGACATAAAGATCTGATGGAGCTGTCTTCCTCTGCAGCTTTCTCTAATACTATAATCATGCCGTCATATTTTCGATCTGGATGTAGTCCTCCTATATGGGGCCTTGCACGTCCACAGCTGGGTTTGTCTTTCATGTGAGTGGCTCAAAGAACTACAAGACAATGCTTCACTATTAGCTGACCCAAAAGTCGGACGCATGCTGCCTTACCTTCACAATAGGATGAAACATAATCAAATGATATCTTTGCAAAAATAATTTCCTGTAGTAGTATAACATAACATTACCTTGAATTATGCATCCATAAGCGTATGTTTTTTTTTTTTTTTTTTTTTCACAAATGTAAACCTATGACGTTAATCTGTCACAGAAAACCCTAAAAGAAAACATAAGTTTATGGTTGAGTAGTGAGAAATGTTAAAGCTCCAAACATTTAAATACTCTAACAAGGCACTGTTGACTAAGTCTTCATGCTGACATTCCTCAAGAACAATTATTTGTTATAATGAAACAGCTTTGCATGCATGTTAGATCTTGCTGTATCAAAAACAGCAAGTAACTATATATTTTAAAAAATTTGCTTTAACATTGGATATATAATGTCTGTCCAACTCAAATCTATTGACAGAAATACTCTAAACCTAACGGGGTTTACCTAAAGAAAAAATAGTTGATTCAATTTAGCCTAAAACATTCATAGCTCTTCGTCACAGTCAGTAATCTTGGAGCTCACATTCTTTAGCAGTTCCCCCTGCTTTTAGTTGGACATGTCACCTTCTTGAAGCTCGACTGATGGTCTGTCCTCGCTACTGAAACATTACAGCTTGCTGTAGCAAAGGTTTGCATTGGAATTTAAGTACTGTATACCTAAAAGCTTCATATAATGTTTACATTTTCAGAAAAGGGACAACAGAAAAAAGGAAAATGCATAGCCTGATTAACTATCTCACCTAGACTCTTGTGGCTCTGAATTTTGCCAAAACCCAGATAGTCTTTTGGAAGTGTTGTAAGTTTTAGCTCTGATGTGGGTTGCAACATTCTGCAGTCAGTACATTATTCAGATCATTCAAAGGTTAAATGAACAAAGTGAGAAGCAGTTAATTTCTGCACTTTACTTTGGATTATAAGTCACAACAGAGAAAATACAACTGATATGGCCTGCAGTATTCCAACTGATTATAAGCACCAGCTAAAATAGCAGCACAATGTCAAGAAGACAAGAAAGGATAAATCCATCTATAAAAATTTTATGGTGATGTCATTTGTTATGTTTCTGTAATATAATTATGTCTTTTAGCTTTCCTACGTGTTCCTTTGCACCTTTGGGAATCAACTACTCTTAAATCTATGGTGCAAATTTTGCATTTAAAGAGGGACACCATTCCCCAAATGCTGTTAATGTCCTAGAATTTCAAGTTTCTTCACATTTTTGAATAAAGTCTTGTATAAAGTCTATAGTAGTGTTTTCCACAGTTTATCTTAAGAGTTTAGTCTTGTCAACATCAATTACTACAGCCAGTAATTCCCAGAAATCATAAAAAAACACTTTTTATTTATCATAAATATTCATAAAGTAAATGACATTTCACACTTCTACAAAAAATATATACTTTTATAATACAAATAAAAAAATCTACATATTTTCACAGCACATATAAAATATATAAATTGTAGTCCCAAAAAGGCAACATGAAATAAAAAGGACAACAAACTCCTCGTAGAAAAAAAAGTGACTTCTACATCCATATACTTCAATGTAAAACAATCCATGTACAGTTATTGCTGGAAAAGTTTTCAAACAAACGGTACATTGGTAATGTGTCTACAAAACCGAACTGATGCAGTCTGTGACAAGTTTAAATAATTGAAACACTAGTTTAAAGGGCTTTTTTTCTTTGCAAAAAAACAAAAAGAGAAAAAGCTTAAATGTGCAACTTCACAAAATGAGTAACATTGACTTAAATGACAGATGAGTCACTTAGTTGGGCATGGGTTGGTTATACTTAAACTTATAAAGAAAGATGAATGTGCTGAGAGGCTCCTTTAATGCTGTAACACTATTCCCTTCCCTAAAAAAGGAAAAATAAAAGTCTGGAACCATCTATTTTTATTGTCCTTGTTTTTCTTTTCCCCTGCATACCGTCTGAGTGAAAACAGCACTGCAAGTCAAGCTGTGGTTGAAGGAATGATGATCAGCAAGCCAGTGAGGAGCTGCTGTTTTTGTGGTGCAGCTGCTCACTCAAAGAGTCTTTCTGTTGGTCAGCCAGAGTAAGGGAAAAAAAAAAAAATAGGCCCTGAGAAGGAGAGACTACACTGCCACCTTTCAGAAGTCACCATGGAACACTGCCTTAAAACTATTCACCAAGTTCCTGCAATCATCTTTTTTCCTATGCATCCCTCACTGTGAACGAGCAGCAACACCATCCTTAAAGGATCAATATTGAAGTCACGTGATGTTTTAAAAGTTCTAAGAGTTAGAAAAGCCTTTGGTGTTTACAGCTCGAGGGTGTTCATTGATGCATTCAAGTCAGATATTAGCATTTTCTTAAATCAGCAGCACCTGTCTAATTTCATGCATGGTTCCTGGAAAGCCATGTCCTCTTTGTTAAAGGCAGTTTCTTTTAACTGGTTACCAATCACAACTGTACCACTATTACCAAGGCTGCTGCACAAGCTGTGAGTACAGCTATGTTTCGCATGTGAATGGCATCTGATTAACTTAGATTTTTTTTTAAACGAGCCACTTTACATACATATAAAACATAGTTTGCACCACAAATTTTAACAGTGGTATTTCTATTTTAAACTGCTTTATTTATTCATCAAACATGTAAACATATGAATTCAGTGAGATGTCCCTCCTATTGCTAGGCACCCTTGGTAAAGATGTACAAAAAGCCTACAAATAACGAATCTCAGATTGTAAAAAAAAAAAAAAAAAAAACAATATCAGGGAGTACAGTTTGCAGGCAGCTGTGACAACCTTTAAATCTCATACGACAGGGCATTCTTATCAGTGAAATGCAATCATCTGCACATGACTGCAGATGTAAGCTGGTTTTGCTACGACATAACAGCTCCACGAGACTGCTAGCCTTCAGCATGAGCAGAATGATTACATTCTTTTAAAATTCAACCATTTTCATTAATGAAATACCACAGATATAAAAAAGTTAGACTCAATAATCACAAGTATTTAAATGGCACTTATCGATTAACTCCTCAAAGATAGCCCTCTCTAATGTCTCATTAACTGCACTATTACCTACCATCAATTCACCTCTTAAATCAACACGGAGAGGAGTGCGACTTCATAACATAGAACGATTTAGAGTTTAAAACAACACAGCTTGACATAACTTTGTATCTGCATGGTATGATCCAGTAAGGCCCATAAACGACAGGCTTCTCTGTGGGGTAATTTACCATCATGAGCCATGATGACAAACTTCAGCAAATAATATGCTTCACCCAAAAGCAAGAAGCCACATTCAATTTTAAGCCGAGCAAAGCACATCCAGATCCACAAACACTGGAAGCTACCAGGAAATTCAGTCACAAGTTTTAAGCTATAAATCTTAAAGTGGAGGCACCTTGTCTTCATACTGTGGTGGAGGGGTAAGAGGTTCAATACTGATTCCATCGGTAGGTTGGGAGCTACCAGTGTTTTTCATGGGTAGTTTTTCTGACTTAATCCTTCGTATTTTGATGGGGAGGAAATTACGGTTGTTTCTTCCTGATCTGTGACTTGATGTGGAAACCGTGGCACAGGGAGCTATACAGGCTAGGGCAGGCTGTGGTATGGTAGTGTTGACCTCGGCGCCCTCGTTCTCGTATTGGATGCTGTCACTTTGGACCAGCTCGTCATAGGATGGCAGCTGGGAGACACTTGGACGAAGGTTGCTCTGGCGAACAGGGTACTGCCCGCTGCATATTACCTCCTCATAGCTGGGTACTGCATAGCGCTGGGCCTGCTCCTCAGCCCTGCAGAGATGGAAACGCTTAAATCAATATCATGCAAATCACTCAGTGCTGGGTCAGTGAAATTGTCAGATTTCTATACATATATATACCTAGAAAAATAATAAAAATTGCCTTTACTGTCTTTAATTCTGGAGAAATAAATCCTCAGATTTCATGAAGTGTACATGATTTTTTTTTTTTTTTGTCTGCTTATGTAGTTATTATAGGCCTTCGACAGCCAAGTTTTTGATCCCTGATCAAACCAGGAAAGTTCAATCTTTTTTCTGAAAATGTGGGGAGTGGCAGCCTAGTGGTTAGGGCATAGTGCTTGGAACCCTGAGGTTCGGAGTTCGAGCCTCACTGCCACAGACTGCCACTTTGAGTCTCTGAGCAAGACCCTTAACCCCACATTGCTCCCTGGGCGCTCCACGATGGCAGCCCATCCCCCAAGGGGGTGGGTTAAATACAGAGGTAAATTTCTCCAAAGTAAGATCAATAAATTTCAATTATCAAAACTTGGAAACAAAATAAAAAAAAAACAGGTTCAATACAGTAAAGAGCGGATCTTGACGATTTTTATTAAAGATAAAATTGAGAAGGTGATCATGTATTTCCTGCATTGCTTTCACTTCTATACTCTATATAGTTTTACAAATGGTACTTTTATACTTTGACTTGAATAAAAAGCTTAAGTTGATACTCTAACTTCTACAATAGTGTTTTTAAACAGTAGAATTTATATTTCTACTTGAGTAACAAACATCCATACTTTTGACACCTCTAGAGCTACCGTAACTAGGCTTTCGACATATAAATAAAAGAAATCACACAATACCACTGCTGAATATTTCGAATATGCTGTCAGTTACTATTAAAACAGATTTTTTTCAATAGTTGTGAAAGTGGTAGCTGCAAGGTGACCTTAAAAGTTTGTGAAAAAGCAAAAAAAGCAAAACAAATGTATGATTTATTTTATTCTTTTTTACCATTAAGCATGAAAAAGTTCTATCATTAACATAAACTATCATTTCTAATATACAATTATAAAATGACTTAAAGCTGTTATTTAAAGCTCTTCCTCTGTCTAGTAATTTATAAAAAGACTACCCCACCTTGGCTGGTAGGGGTCTAAAATGCCTTTTTTTCCTACTTTGGTGAGGCAGACTTTCATTTTAAAAGGATCTCAAAGCAAAACAGAGCAAATCTACATTAGATATAAGAGTAAGACACAAAGCTCAACCCTCCCACTACACACAAATTTGAGAAGTTTGATTTCTTTTGCTCTGTTATCATCATCAATGTGTTTTAAACGCTTTTTAGTCCATGGAAATCGAACATAAATAAAAAAAAAAATTAAGTTAACATTCTTATGCTAAACTAATCAAAGCAGTAAAAACATTCTAAAAGTAGATTTTTCTTTACTTTACCAGAAGCTTTAGCATGTTAGCTACTAAATACATTTTTTTTTCAAACATCAAAGACGTTTAAAAAAAAAACAAAATCATTCAGAGAATATTTCTATCCCAAACAGACTCAATGAGACAGAATGCCTAATCTATACAGTAATTATTATTATTATTATATTTGTTGACCTAAAAACAAATCAGGTATATTCATGACTGAACTCACGTTTCTGTCTCCTGCTCCCTCTCTGCTTCTCTCCGGTTTAGGACCTCCTGGTGTCTCAGTCTCTCTTGTTGTTTGTTCCTCATTGCAAGACACAGAGACAGCAGCAGCATAGCTACCCCGGAGCCGGCCAGCACAAAGGCCACAGAGGACGCTTTATGTCTTTTGCTCTCCATGCCACCATTCCCCCCTGAATTACCACTGCTGCTGCTATTAAAAGTTGTGTTAGCAGGCACTATGCTCCAGACAATCATCACTACTCCAAGGGCAATGAGTCCAACCCCCAATGCACATAGAGCATACTGGGAGCCTGAATTTCCATTGTTTTCTCTGCTACTCATCTGGTTGTTGTTGTTGTTATTGTTGTTGTTGCTGCTGCTTGTCTCTACTACCCCAGGCGGGCATGGTGGTCCCTCTGCAGTGGAACGCATCGTTTTTTAATTTCCAAACTTCAATAAGATCAGCTGCAGTGAGGTCAAAAACTGTGGAGAGAAAGTCATATTAGCAGAAAAAAACTAAAAACTAAAACTAACATAACAAACAGAAACAAATTTATGCTCCGTCTGCCTTACAGTGAGGAGAACAATGATTCCTTCTTGGGTCTCTAAGCAGCACTCGAAATTTACAGTCACAAGTCAAATGCCTCTGCTGTTTTAAAGGGTCTTAGAGCACAAGCCCACATTTTCAGAGAAACGAAGGGACATAAAATTCACTGTAGTAAATTAAATCCACCCTTTTCCCCGAGTCATAGGTGTGTTCACAGCAGCCTCACCTTTTAAAGTCACCTGTGGCACAGCTAGAGCTACAAAAGGCAATAAAAAAAGGGGTAGCGGCAGCTGTAAATCTAGCGCCTCAAGAAATATTACGTAATCCTGTACTCCACAGGTTTAATGACCTCTTATCAGTCTCTTAATCTGTGAACTGTTATGTGTTTATTGTGAGTTTATGATGCTGCATTACTGGAAGTATTTATAAACAGTTTTCCAAGGTAAAAGGGTTCTCTGAAATGCAGTAAGCATGTCAGGTGTGTGTACCTGGCTACATACTATGAAAAATGTCAATGATCACAAAGTTACACCCATTTCTATTGTCAGAACATAACTTTGAGGCATGTAGAAGGCCAGCACAGATCGTTCGTTTGTACTTGGGCGGGGGGTCAGACACCAGTTCAATCTTTAATCTTAGGTTGCATGATATGATGGACATGTATACTTTAATTATTATAGAGTTTCTCCTACCTGTAGTTTAATGAAACATTTTAATGTTTAATTTCATATCCTTCATATTAGTTACAGCAGAGATCCCTTTCTGTCACAATAATATAAAGTGAGTCACAGGGTTGGGCAAAAAGAACAGGAAGAGAAATGTGTTTAGTAGTCTGTGTGGATAATAATATTACAGTTACTCTTCTTTAGGGTTAAGGTTTGATAAATGGGTACACGTGTCTGTAGGCAGGACACTGAAGAGCAAGCAAGGCACTTACAGCGTAGGGCTGGACACCAAATAGTGACACACACTATCAGACAGACACCAACTTGTTTTGACGCATGGTTCACTGACATCACAGAGAAATTTCCCCTTGTAGTTCCTCATTGCATTTAATGTATTACAATCATAATGACTTTCAGAAAAAAATGATCAGAACTTCGACTTTTTTTTTTATCATTACACATTTTTATGAAAGTATTCAAAACTCTTCAACTTTTTTGCACATTAACTTACATTAAAACCAACAAATGTAATGTGCTTTATGAATCCAAACATTAATAGTGTATAATTATCAAGTTTGAATATTAAAAGTAAAGTTTTTATGTTTTATGAATCAAAAATTTGAATAGGGTGACATGATTTCATTCACCTTTGCATATTTGTCATTTACTGAAAAAAAAAAATCAAACCATTTTGTCATCAACAACGCATCACAGCTGCGTAATACTGTCATCAATGTAGTAGAAATGTTGTGGTGTTGGTATTGCTGTAATACAGTACCTCCCTTCACAGATAATATTTTGCATATGCATGCAATTGCTTCCCTGAATATTGCTTGTCTTGCTGCCACGTCTTGGTAGCTTTACAGAAGTGTTGCCACTTTAATCTGCTTCCTAAATGTATCCCTTTCCTCCACGATTGTGCTAAAGTTAACATTCCCTAGAAAATCGATTGCACTGGATTTCATTCAGGAATATTAAATTAAAAAGGTTTTAACACATATCCCGTCACCCTTTTTGGATTTTAGCAATCAAAATAAATTGTTGAATCAGGCAGTCTTTCTTTTAAGCTTCCCATTTAAGAAAAACCGATCCATGCCGAGACCGATCCATGCTCGGATCAGTTAACCAGGCCGAGCTTGGTTCTGACGACCGTTTACACATCACGCTATCTCTGTCCCTCGACTCCTCGCCTCCTAGTGATGATCTGCGATATTACTGCTAGTATTGAAGGAGGAACTCAAGCAGTTGGTGGCGGTAATGCACCAAAAGTTGTTTACCAACTGCCATAAAACACAAGAAGAAGAAGACGAAGAAGGAGGGAATCAAGCAAATCAAAATGACGGCGCCCGTCACATTCAGAAAGTTATGCTTGATTATTACTGTACTTCGGTGTTATTATTTAAAATGCCATTATTTAAGATGTTGCGTTGAGAAGATTTCGATTGTTGTTTATAGTTGTTCTTCTTCTTCTGTTTTGTGTCGGTTGGCAAGCAATTTCCGGAGGGGCATTACCGCCAACTACTGGAATGGAGTGTGAATTGGGATGTGTAGCCAGACGGAGATGACGCGTTCTGCTCATCTGCTTTTGTTATCAGAGAACCGAGCCAGGGAAAAACCAAGCCGAGACCACCTCTGGAACTGGTCTGCAGTTAGCTCGGTTTGGTTGTGTCTAGCTTGGCTCAGTTCAGTTTGCTTTCCATTTACACACGATAAGTTATCTCAGTTACTGAGCTCGGACCGGTCTCGCACGGTTTTTCAAGGGTAGTGTAAATAGGGTATAAGGCTAAGTTCACACTGCAGCCTGAAGTGATCCTAATGTTATCTTTTGGCCCATATGCGACCTGGATCTGATCGTTTCATGACAGTCTGAATAACACAGATCCGATTTTTTCCATGCGACCCAGGCCACTTGGCTATGTGGTCCTGAATCCGATACGAATCTGATATTTTCAAATGGGACCTGTGTGTGAACGATCAGGTCGCATTTATCTGACCTGAACGCCATTAGTAACCGACATAGGTCACTATTCTGCTTCTTGCTACACAGAAGCGGCAAGAAAAACAAAAAACAAGATGATGCAGAGAGCAGTATTTTTTAACCATCTTGAAAAGATTGAGGTTATAAAGGTATGGAAAGGTCGCTAGATGTTTATTTCCGTAAACATGAAACACGCTGGCTTGTGAAATCATTGCGTCCTGTACTGCACATGCAGGACACTTAAGCTGTATGAATGTAGTTCACACAGGAGATCACATACAAGTTTCATATATTCTGAAATGTGAACGGCGACGCAAAAAATTCAGATATCACAAAAAAATCAGAATTGAGCATCAAGGCCTGCAGTGAGAATGTAGCCTATGTTGGTTTAACACTAAAATCTGAATCAAATACACTAACATGTGTGATTAAAACATAAAGAATTAAAGGTGAAAGGTTGTGCTTGGATACAAAATAATTTTGCCACACACCTCATCTTTCTGTTTCACCATCCTCCTCTACTTTAGTACATAAAGTAAATTTGGGCACACAAAAAAAAAGAACCTGCATGCATTTTAGAGTTATGTTTTAATAAATGAATTAAGTTGAACTTTTTGTCTACCGTAGCCTACAGACAGGCCTGGGCCTGCTGGGACTGAGGAGGGTTATTGTGGCTGAAAACTAGGGGATAGCCCAAGACTAAAGAATGCAAGGCATGACCCAACAACCAACAGCTGGGATAATACAATATGAAAAAGCACACAACAACCAGCCTGATTACAGTGGGGTTGCATAATCCAGAGGTACAAAGGCATTTATGTGAGGATGGAGAAGTTTATTGGAAAGAACTGGAACATTTACAGTTAAACTTTACCAAGACAGCACAGTAAGATATTAACAGGCTTTTTTCCTTTTTTTTTTTTTTTTTTTACAGCTAGACAGATTCCATGTATACATTAATTTGTTAACAAGATAAAATATTGGAAGACGTTATACAGAAAAGAAGCTTAAAGTCTTCTACCTGCTTTAAACGCTTTATTTTTTTATTTAAATGAGGGATTTTGTCTTAAATTGTTACCAAACCAACAACAGTTGACCTACAATACCGCTTTAATTAATAACACAACGGGTTCGTAATTAAGGGCTCAATAAGATAAGTGTGTTGGTCAAACTTTAAAATGTCTTTTAAGTATCAAAAACGCGGTCATTGCCTTTGTTCTTTGTTTTCTTTTTTTTCATACAATCTGATAACGCGTGTAGCGACTTCTTCGATGCGCGCGCGTGCTGCGGAGACACTCACCTTCGCATTTTTTCTCAGCCTTCCTCTTCTTTCTTTCACAAACAACCAATCGGCAAGCTATATAAATTTAATAAGGAGTTTGATTGTAAACAGAGCGTTTTCTTTGGGGATCCGGAGGAACTTTCCTGTAGAGGGATGGGCCGTGGCAGATAGAAGCAGGAAGGAGGGGGCTTCGGCTGCAGCTCACTTCCAGGTTCATTAACTCTTTCACTTCTGGTTTGTGGTCATAAGCTGCTCGTGCTTTTTTAAAACGTGATTCTTTACCTTTCAGTTATCAAGACACAACAGCATGAAGTGACTCTCAAATGTGAACTAAGAAAATCAATGACATATGAAATTAACACTGACTTACACACATATATGCAGTGGTCTAGTTGTAAAAAATAATAAAAATAAATAAATAAAAAGGGGGATGGTAGAATTTTCTCTCTTTTTTTGGAAATAAACATACCCTAATTATACTTGGACTTATATTTATTTTGTCATTTCCTATACACAAGTGTAAACAAAGATAAATTTAGTTGAGAACAGCTCTAGACAATTTCATTTTTTAAAGTGCAGCCTTGATAAGGTAAGCAGCAGTTATTGTTGAGCTGCTACTACTGCCTCCAGCTCCTGAAGCACTCACTTCTCCTGGCTCAGGGGGGAAGAGGATGATGATAACAATGCTGTGAGGGAGGTAGCCCCCTGGGTTGAAGCAAAATTGGTGGCATCATTTAGCAGCGACACACGATGCTGGAGAAGGTGTGGAAGCCGGAGGGCAATTGCGTAATGAAACAACAATAGGCCCGTAGGGAACATTTTCTGGGTGGGCCCCATATTAAGTACAACACCCCATAAATCCAGTATAAATATGGTCTGGTCAGTCATACTAGTATCGGGAGGGTTTAAGAGCACTTTTTCTCACGATTACATCTACAAAGAGACGCCCTAGTCCACAATTGCGAAGGGGGCCACTAGGTGTCAGTGAGGGGGCCTGTAAGAGGTAGGGGGCCCTTAGGCAACTGCAGTCTGTGCTTACTGATATTTACACCATTGCCGGAGGGGGCCTGGAGGAGCACGGTACAGCACCAGCCCCCCCTGGCCAACAGCACCATCTGGTAACTACTGCTGGATGCAGCCAAGACCCCGTCAGAATGATGGCGCAGAAGTTACATATCTTCTTTTGTGAAGAGAGTTTGAGTCGGATATTATCAATTTTGTTATCCGACGAGCAGACGTTGGAGAGCAGGATTGATGGAAGCGGTGGTCTGTGGGGATCTCGCTTTAGCTTCGCAGTTGGCTCCCCTCTGCAGCCTCGCTTTCTCCGTCTCGAGCATCTCTTCCTCCCTCCGTTATTTTCCGCTGTTGTTTTTTTTTTAAATCTGTCCATAGCTCTCCACAGCTTTTTAAACGGTCAAACATGTCAGTATTTTAAAAATGTTTGTGACCGTAGCTCAGGCCGATCATAGATACAGGTTTGATGT